TTTTTTCCCCTCTATTTTGTTTTATTTCAAAGAGAAGGAGATATATTTGTCTTTTAATCTTCAGAATGTAACCTAATTGGTTCACAGTGTAGTTAACTGAATTCTATGAACTGAATTGCTTGAACTAGACCAACATCTGGAGTTTGTATTTAAAAGATCATAAAAGTCATGACAAGAAATTAAAAAATTTCAGCAGTCATGACAAGATAATGTTTTAGATTGATACTTACTAGGTTCCCACGACTTTGTTGGTGCTTGCTTCTGTTACTTTGTCCTCAACAATTCTTGCCAAACCGAAGTCTGAAATTCTTGGGTTCATCTCTGCATCTAATAAAATGTTGCTTGTCTTCAAATCCCTATGAATGATCCTCAGCCTTGAATCTTGATGAAGATAAAGAATTCCTCTTGCTATCCCCAAGATGATTTCAAACCGCTTTCTCCAGTTCAGCAAAATGCATAATGTTTTATCTAGAATTTTTTTTTGCAGAAAAATTACTATTGATTGAAATGACAATTGCATAACAAAACATATAATTTTCATGGGCTAACCAAATATAAAGACATCCAAACTTTTGTAGGGCATATATTCGTAGAGTAAGATCTTTTCATTCCCCTCAATGCAGTAGCCCAGAAGTCGGACGAGGTTCCGGTGTTGAAGCTTAGCGATCAGTACAACTTCGTTTTGGAATTCATTAGAACCTTGTACGGAAAAGCTTGACAACCTTTTCACTGCAACTTCTTTCCCACCAGGTAGCAACCCCTGCATGAGTTTGTGAATTAGAATTTAAACATAAGGGCACGAACAAACAAACTTGATTGTAGGAAACAATTTTGGAGAAAATCATAGTAAAACCTTATATACAGGTCCAAATCCCCCCTGCCCTAGTTTGTGTACGTCTGAAAAGTTTTCTGTAGAAGCTAATATACTTTTCCAACTGTAGAAAGGAACACCGGTATCATTATTGTTATCTCCCCCCAACTCCAACTCCAAGTATGCTACAGACAATCTCTCGACTGCATTTGCAGTTCCAAGTATATGCCCTTGACGTCTCCGGATCGTGACCTTAACAATGGCCAAGAACACCGTAACAACAGCAACAGAACCCACAACAGCACCTATGACAACCCCTTTATTCTTTTTGTTGCTCGAAATTTGAGAAGCAGAGGCAGCAAGTCGAAC